TAAAGACTTGTGTCGTTAAAGTTTCGTTGGAACGAAGTTACGGAAAAATCAATGAACAAACGGAGACGTAACAGTATGAAACATATTAGCACGAAGTGATCTCAGTGAGCGTGTAGTTCGAAAACATGGGCATTCGATCACATACAGTGGAGGGGAGTAAAGGTGTTCTTTACAGATGAAACAGAATTCGAATTATTTAGTTTGTTCGATGGTGGAGAACAGAATCGTATCATAGTCAACTTACACGTATACAGTGAAGCATGGTGGGAAATCAGTACGTGTTTGAGGGCTACATCTCAACCAGCGTTGTCAGTGATCTACACAGCGGCCCGGCATGGCCAGGTAGTTAGGGCACCCGACTCGCAATCTGCGGGTCGCGGATTCGAATCCCCGTCACACCGAAACATGCTCACCCGGTGTCCGGACTAGGACGCCAGTCCTACTCCCTGATACTCACCTCCAACAGAATTTGAAGGTGTGAGAAACACCATACGAAACTACTTAGTGATCTACACCTTGTCTGCTGACAAGTACATGCCGATTTTGAGGCACCATGTCATTATCTAACGAACATCGCCCATTGGGTAGGGATTTAACTTCCAATTTTTCAATGATATCAAGCATACAGCAAGTGTGGTGAAACGATATCTTGACGGTAAAGAAATCAGTGGAACACTCACAACATGTCTTGGCTTGCACGAAGTCCCAATAACAACATTCTTGAGACTGGATGAACTTATGTAAAAACTGAGACAGTTAAAATGCAAACAGATAATTTAGGTAAATTATGGGAAATACTACAGGATATATGAAATAATACCCCTGTATGACAGGATGAAAATAAAGCGTCGTACTCTGTAAATCAAAGGCCTCACATACAGAATACTAGTGCATTGTACAACTCACTCTCTTTTATTTTGTATTTTTCGTGATAATGTTTGTGCCATTAATACTTCCACCTACAGTTGCCATTCTCTGTGATTTGCATGTGTATTGCTTGTGTATTTCTATATTATTTCTATTTCTATAGACATATATTGATATGTTGAAGTAAAATATAACATTAAAGGTATAACCTTATTCAACAACACTTAAAAACAAATTATTTGTGAAGCAGTAGTGATTTTTCAAATGTTACTTTGTTCTTTATTAGTGAGTAGCAGGCTTTAAAGTATTAGTATTTTTATTTATAGACTCCAAAGGTAACCCCAGAAACCTCGTTAATAGTAAAGGTTTGAGGAGAAAACCATCTTCAAAGAACTTGGAATCAGTTTTAACCTGTAGCGACGAGAGATTTGTGGATTTTCTCAACAAATGTCTCGAGTAAGTTCTTCTAGTTTGGGTTCTTATAAGATAATGCAAGGCAGCAATGAACAATGATAATAGTGAAAAGTAATAATGTGTACCTATATCACTAATGCTTATATCAAAGTATGTTGCTAATGGCTCAAAACAATGTAGTAACACTTATTGACATTATGTTATGACACTATTGTTTAGTGTTTCACGTATGTGGTTAATGTACAACAATGTGAGTAGTAGTGTTGTGTAGTAACATTTAAATTATATTATTTGATGTTAATAAGCAACATCCATCAATAATATGTAATGATATTTAAGACTTTTTAAATAAATAGCACATGATATTCACGTGTTTATTGCAAGCTTATTAATGAAGGGGGATTTATTTCGAAAACGGTCTATTTAAGCGAAGAGGACCAAAAAGAGATAAAGAGAATATGAAAGTAGTTATGTTTATATCCATTCCTCAGTTGCTATGCATAAGAATAACCGCCTGAAATATCGAGCTGCCACCAGCTGATGACTTATTTACAAAACTAAACATCTGAAACACATAAACGGGGTTGAGTGCGTTATACCAAAACATATATGCAAATCAGCAAGTCATGTGACAACCACAGCTGATATAAAGTCGCAATAGGAACGGTATACATCAGAACTACATTTTGACATTGTTTGGCTTTATATAGATAATGTAGTGCCATCGAAAATTGTTCACTTTAGAGACAGTCCTTTCCGATTCAAAATATTCATACATTTAGATCTTAAAGATGCGTTCAAAACACAGACTTAAAATTTTCAAGAATAGGATATCCTTTACACTTAATGACATTTGAAAACAAATGAATATGGATCAACTTGGCACACCAAGACCATCAAGAAAGTGATTTGCAACAAGTCGGATCCTAGCCGTGGTAAGCAGACTCTGGAGTCTTGTAACAAGTGAGATTCCAAGAGCACAAAAGGTCAGTGGCAAAAGCTATTCAAGTGCTCCAGGCAACAAAACTCATCACAATGTAGAAGGATTTCCGTGTGGAAAGCGGCACTAGTTACGTGTACACAAGTTGCTTCCACGACAGATCCATTCAACCGTCACATACCTGAGCATCTGCAGAATGAAACTTGTATTTCATGTTATTCCATACGACACATACCATTAAGTTATCGGACGCAGCACCTATGGATATATGTGTGATGTGACTATTGAAACTGTATGTTGTTGTTACACTCGGTGTCTAGTATGAAATAACTTGTATTTTTTTTTCTGTAGATGGGATCCTGACCTTCGTCTGACTCCTGACGAAGCTCTTAGACACCCATGGTTAGCGGGACATGATAGTGGTAGAAGAACTTCCAAGTCAGTTCAGTCCCTAATAATCCGTGAAGTAGAAACAGGTAATGTCCTTTGTCATTCCAGTCCGTGATAATCCATAAAGTAGAAATACATAATGTTTCGTGTAACTCCAGCCCGTGAAGTAGGAATAGATGGGGACTCTTTTCAGTACATTATCTATTATTCTGTACAATGGAAGTAAATAAAAATGTCAGTCCATGACGTAGAAACAGGTAGTGCTCATTTTCACTCTAGTCCGTAAAGAAGACAAAAGTAATTCCCCCCTATCACCCCCGTCTATTATAATTATTGAAGTAGAGACAGGTAATGTTCCTTATTACTTCAGTCCCTGAAGTACAAACAGGTAATGTTCCTTATTACTTCAGTCCCTGAAGTACAAACAGGTAATGTTCCTTGTCATTCTATATCATGACGTAGAGACAGGTAATGTTCCTTGTCATTCTATATCATGACGTAGAGACAGGTAATGTTCCTTGTCATTCTATATCATGACGTAGAGACAGGTAATGTTCCCTGTCATTCTATATCATGACGTAGAGACAGGTAATGTTCCTTGTCTTTCTATATCATGACGTAGAGACAGGTAATGTTCCTTGTCATTCTATATCATGACGTAGAGACAGGTAATGTTCCTTGTCATTCTATATCATGACGTAGAGATAGGTAATGTTTCTTGTCAACCGTCGCATATTTGAGCATCTGCAGAATGAAACTTGTATTTCATGCTATTCCATACGACACATACCATAAAGTTAGTGTAGTTTGTTCCTGGTAAGCCCTGGTAATGGCGAAAGGCCTTGTAGTCACTGGATATAGCAGATGTAGTGTGGTAGACACATTGTATTCTTTACTTTCATTCATAAGTTCATATAAATACAAACCACACCGGTTAGTTTGTTCTCGTATATGTAAATAAACCAAACAAGGAAAAAAGCCTTGATTTAGGAATCGATAATATAACCTCGTATACTTCACTGAGTTGCTTTAGTATCTCAGACATAAAATAATCAAATACATAATCACACCAAATTCGTATTTTCATAAATATGTGATCATTCACAAAAAAACATTATTTTTTGTATCGTAAATAATATGTAACCCATCTCTTTGTGTAAACCAACTTTTGACAGACATAAACAGTGAACGTTACTTAGAATTAATATATTTTATCATTTGCTTTAGATCAACCTAGATCAATCTACAGGGTCTACAAAGGGTCAAAGGGTCATCATAGAAACAGAGACTCTCGCTCCTTCAACAAAGCTGCCTCAGAAGAATCATGTAAGTACATAGAAATTTACAGTTTTAAACAGTGTTTGGTACATTAGTTTTTTAGTTGCGCACTTTATAAGTTTCACGCGATTTTACAATAAACACAGTTGCGTGAACTATTAGCCATACATTACAAAATACTTCATTTTCCAAAGTAGTAGAACGACATGTTGACTGATGTTCAGAGGTGGTTTCAATTGTAGAGTAAAAAAGTCTTTTTTTCTGAGTTCTCGTGTCATCAGCAGTAAAACTATCTTGAAATGAGTACCGTGGGCTCTCTTAAGTTCTTTGAAAAGGTACTGGTAAATGTGAAAAGCATTATCTACACTGGGCTTAGAATGATATTTTCAACAAGTCGATCCTGGCAACAAGTAAAATAAACAAACGACACAATATACTTTTTTTGTAGTAGTGGTTTACAGCAAACATGTTTTAGATGTTACAATTATACATTTAATAAGCTACATAAGATGTTACAGTTTACATAGCAACATTATAAGATCTACATATAATTGTACATTTAATAAGCTACATAAGATGTTACAGTTTACGTAGCAACATTATAAGATCTACATATAATTGTACATAAATAAGTTGCATAAGATCTTACAGTTATACATAACATAAACTGCATAAGATATTGCAATTATAATTGGTTTAAATTACTAGAAATCTATGGTTCTGCATATTGTAAGTTACTTTAGATGCTACTATGGTAAATAGCGTAATTTAAGTAAGACGTTACAGTCGCACTTAGCATAATTAGATAGGACTTTAAAGTTATTCGTAGGCTTAGAGCAATAGGCAGAAACTATCGTACTCTTTATGAAAGGTCTTAAGATTACCACCAGCAACTTCATAAACTTTGGTTTTGTAATTTTAAACTTGTGTTAGAAACTTTACTCAATTCTTATATATATTTTAATAACGGAAGACTTAGGTTCAATAATACTAACTTTTCTCGTGTTTCAGTGGTCTTAAGGTCCATTGAGAGTATAGATACCAGCATTGGTGATCCAGACGACCTCCTAGTAGATTCTGGAATGTTCCTACCACCAATATTGTGACAAAAACCCTGAGGGTAGATACACACTGGTAAACACTTCATCAACCAAGGTCGCATGACAGTTTGCCTGATTGGTGTGTCCACCCTCATACAACTTGTTTGAGTGTAGAAATTGACTACCATCAGTGGTAATTGAAGCTTGGCATGACTTTCAGCTCAACATATCCTTCAAGTGTGGCTTGTCTTACGTAATATGAGAAGTGAACCATGCCTTCATGTATTCCAAAGTGAAACATGTCCTATATGTGGGTCGTCATAATATATTAAATGAGCCAAGCATTCGTGTGCAACTATATGTAAGATTAAATTTAATGGAGTTCTTATATATGATTTTTTAGCCTCTGAAGTAAATCACGGAAACGTGTTCTCAAGTGAATGTTAATGCTTTCAGAAGAAACTTGTGTCATTACGTGTTACTATGAATGAGCCAACTCTTCTGGTGTTTTTTGTTTTTAAAGTGATAAATGAAATATGTTGTAATGTCAGCTTATACAATGCCTTCACATTAAGTTTAGTATTAAAGAAAAGAACACAATTCTTCATATGAGACTTACTGTTATATCAGAAAAGGGGAAGTACTTTCACACGAGGACAATTGCTATGTTAGGAGTGAAACATGTTTTATGTCAGGCTGATCATGCTATCACGTGTAAAACATGCCTTAATGTAAGTCATATCGTAATGTGTGGAACGTTGTTGGTACCTTTATGTATGATTTGTTATTATATCATAAGGGAAACAGGTCTTTCTGAGAAGCTTATCTTTTGTCAGAAATGAGAAATTCTGTCATTTCAGAGTTATTGTTATATTAGACAGTAACAATACTCTCGTGTAAGGCCTATTGTTATGTGAAAAGCGAAACACGAGGCTTATTTTTACATCGGGATAGACTAGTAAATAGTAGTGGAATGAGGCTTAACATTATATTATAGAAATATGCTCTTATGTGCCACGATATGCCAGAAGGGAGCCATGCACATTTGCTTAAAACACTATGTAGAGACTATGTATACACCATGTAGATATTGCACTGCATTTACTACTGTTTACAAAATAAATAAGTTCAATAAGAAAAGCAAAAAAAAGAAGAAGAAGAAGGAACGAAATGACGTATGCTGTTGTAGTTTATTAATCACGTGATTATTAAAGTGTTTATCGTAACATGATATAGAATAACACCAGTTAAATACTCTAAGAAGGGCAATACAGAAGTTCATGTACTGATATACAATGCTCTGAAACGCATAGCGCTCACAACCAAGTAAAATCACGCGATACGATCATAGCGAAGTTAGACTCGTAATACATGAATTCACATGATGTCATAGTTAAAATGACTTGCTGTATCATATACGTGAATGACAAGTCATGCAATCATGTCTTTGACCTCGGTATTACTGTGATGATATTAGATGTAGATGTATAGATTTAAGGATCACAAGATCCAACTGTTTATACGCTCCCAATGTAAACGTGTGATGCAGAAAGTAACAGGATCATGTCTGCGGTCCTGTGTTAGTCTGGTAATACTGTAATTTTTATACATGTGAGTAGAGCATGGCAATGAGATAAACATGTCATTAATATTGATGCTGAGTCCATTCCAAAATATCACGTGATAAAACTAAAGGATGTATTTCGTGAATACCGGCAATGCAAAAATTCACATCACATGTTAAAGCCACTGACTTGAACATAATAAACAGGTATGCGATATTGTTGCGTAAGACTCGTAACGTAGGTAAACTATTATGTAGAATCATAGGAACTTTGTACATGTACAGTTGCCCGACGAAGGCTCTGGTAAAAGGGTCGAAAGCTTGCAAATAAAAGTATTTTAACGTGTACAGTTATACGATATTGTTTAACGGACTCCTGGTTATGTGAATTACTTCCCATACAGATTAATAGTGTAAGTACAAAGGAATACAGATAGTAACGTCACGGTTAAGACCGTTTACATAGTAGAAATATAGGCATATAGTTAATTTATCTTAAGGATATATATATATTCCAAACAACACTCAGTGCCTGCTCACCCCCCCCCCCCACACCCCTCAATGGCTCAGCAATGAGTCTGTAGGCTTACGACGCTAAAAATCGTGTTTCAATACCCGTGGTGGCCAAAGCACAGATAGACCTTTCCGTAGCTTTGCGCTTAACAACAACAAAACAACCAGTCAATGGTTGCTCTATACAGCATTATGTTGAACCTGTGTTCGGAGTACATATCTTCTCCCAATAGATGGCACCACATGTAACTGATTGTAGTTCATTAACACATCAACATACTTTATCATCAGAACAAATTCATGTTGGATGGCAAAAAACCTTAATAAAAACCAGTACATATGTGTGTTTTCTACAACAATCTCATATTTTGTGACCGTATATAGTTTAATAATATAGTACACAAATATATTTCATATTCTCTGCAGTATGCCAAAAAATAAGCTAAGAGCTAACATATAAAGCGTGATGGACAGAGCTCAGATATTCTATTGTATAGCTTTGCGCTAAAATAAATATTTATGAAAACATAGCGAGAATCTTTCTGTAATAAAATTGATAATTGTAACTAGTTTTTAAACTATTGCACTACCTCGTTTTTTATGAACATTTAGCTAAAACGTATTTTATTGTTTCATTATTTCACTGTAAATTTCATGTAATTAAACTGTAGTTTACTCCTTTCAACAATATTTTAAAAGTTGTGAAAACAATGCATCTAATCGACTTTTTGTTTCTATCCTCCTCTTTCCCAAGCGTGGGTATTTATAAAAGACAATGTTTGCGAGTTTTTGTTCTGTTTCTAACAGAAAAATTAAATTATTTTTTCGAAGACCGTGTTCGTAAATTAAATTATTTTTTCAAAGACCACATAACAGAAAATATAGTGAAGTGCGTGCACCTAAGCCTATATGTTACGTTATTTTTGAGTTCAAGTCAATACTTCTTTATATCTAACTTGAAGTAACTACTTTTTTTTCCGAGTGCAGTGTACAAGGCTCGGAGATTTTGATATTTCAACCATCAAGTAGGAATCTATTACTTGTTTTACATCTCTCCCGTTTTATGTAAACTATGGTGAACTATTTTAGGGACAACGATGGCTTACCCCATTTCTGTTTATTAGTAGTCGCTGCACTTCATATGTTTAATTCGTTAGACGCAATGTGTTGTATATCAAGTTCTATTATCAGACCTAAAACTATAACGTATGTTAATTTTCTCTATAAAAGTAGTCAATACATTTGTTCTATTGTTAGGCCTAAAACCATAACCTTTTAATTTTAATTATAAAAGTAATCACTGCAACTCACTACTTTTCAAACATTTAACGTTTTTATATTTCAGAGTGTCACAGTGTACTTAATTCGATCTTGGTTAATAAATAAAAACGCCTCAAACATAATATTAATTAAACAAAGTGACTAAGGTAGGATATTTCATTAGGGATGACCATCACCTTGTTCCCAAATAGATAAGGTATTTTTTGTCAGTTATTTCAGATATTGTATCTTGTTTGTGTAAGTAGTTCCAATGTTTCGTTGTATTTCAGAATCTGGTGCATACTTGGGGATTTAGGTATTTGTCAATAAAGTTAGAAAACGAATAATCTTTACTCTCCAGGTAACAAGAAAAAAAAAATCAGCCAACGTTTCGCCATTGTGGCTTCATCAGGGCTAGTTCTTGTATTATTAGCTATTGTTGCGTCAGCGAGTCACATGACTAGTGTTGACGCCACGTTTCTAGAACTATCCCGTACCTTGGCGAATGCTCTAGTATTTACTAGATATAGGGTAGTCTGGTATATAAAAGAGGGTGACAACGTGACGGGAGAATAATGTAATG